CTTAAAATTTGTTGGAGAAGAAACATTGTCTATTTATTCTTTCGGAATGAAATACGCAGTACCTAAAACATATAAGGTTGTCGAATTCTGTGTTTCGGATGCGAAGCAAAAGAACAAAATAAAAATCAGCTGTCTCGTCACTGACGCCATAACGGCTGCGCATATGACCACGCCGTCAAAACAAACACTAAAAATGATGAATGAGTGCGGATTGCGAATCGCTTGTTTATGTAAAAGAAGCGTTGGAATTCTAATAGGTGTGGATTATTACTGGAAGATGGTAAGGGGGGAAAAGATTCAATTAGGAAAGGAAATTTATGCGATTTCTACTATGTTTGGATGGGTCCCAGTTGGCCTTCAAGATAAAGAGAGCGAAATAGTATCTCAAAAACACGGCAATAGTAAACCTTTCTTCTTGCGTAACTGATTCATTGAGATCGTTATGGACTTTAGATTTGATGGGCCTTACCGATGACTCAGCGATTTCTAACGAGGTGAGGAGAAATGATTCAAAGCTTTGAAAAGGAAATACGGGTAGAAGGTAATAGATACTATGTCAGTTTATTATGGAAATCGGAAGCAGGGCAATTAGAAAATAATTTCGGAGTAGCATTAAGACGATTTGAAAGTCTTAAAAATAGACTTATTAGAAATCCTGAGATTTATCAGCAGTATAAATCCGTAATTGAAGAGCAAATGAAGGAGGGTATAGTTGAGAAGTGTTCACAGGAAATAACGGAGGCATCGTATTTTATGCCGCACAGGGAAATAATAAAAACCTAAGGAAACCACAAGGTTGTAGGATTGTTTACGACGCGAGCTCTTCTAGAACTAAAGGTGTAAAGTCCTTAAATGATTTTTTAGACATTGGACCTAGTTTGATCCCCGTGGTTTTGGACATAATTTTAAAATTTCGGAAATATGAAATTGCTTTCAGCGGAGATTTAGCTAAGGCCTTTTTAATGATAGGAATCTTAGAAAAGGATAGGGAATATTTAAAATTTCTTTGGTTTCGGGAATAGTGAGGAAAAATATAAAGTTTTAAGGTTTAAACGTCTTCCATTCGGACTTTGCTGTAGTCCAGCAATTTTAGCGATGACGATAAAATTCCACATTAAAAAATATAAAAGCACAAATCCAGAAAGTTATGAAATGTTAGATTCCTCGTTATATGTAGACGATTTATACTACGGTGCAGACACTATTGAAGATGCATGTCGATTATCCTCAGACGCGGTTAAGATTTTTAAAGACGCTGAGATGAATTTGAGAAAATTAAGGTCAAATTCCGAGGAACTTAATTCCTGGTGGATTGGAAAAGGTTATAACATAGAACCAGCTAAAGAGTCAAAATTTTTGGGCATGATCTGGAACTCTGAAGCAGATAAGATCAAGTTGAATTGCGAATTTTTAGGAAATTTATCCCATGACAGTGCTGAGGTCACAAAAAGGACTATTCTCCAAAGGGTGGCCAAAGTTTACGATCCAATTGGTGTGTTTCAACCCTTTGTGATGAAAATGAAAATTCTGTTACAAAAAATTTGGACATTAGGTGTGGACTGGGATGATACCCTTCCATTAGAAATAATTAAGGACTGGAGTCGCTGGCAAGCTGAATTAAAGGTGTTGGAGGAGTTTTCTCTTCCGAGAAAATATTTTGGTAGTAGTGAAAAATCTAATGTTAGCCTTCATGTATTTGCTGACGCTAGCCCTAAAGCGTACGGCGCAGTAGCATACTTTAGATACCTTGATTCAGAAAACATTATTTGCACCAGTTTCATTACCGCAAAGGGTCGCGTAGCTCCACTCAAGACTATGACTTTACCTCGTTTGGAGTTGATGGCTGCTTTAGTAGCCGCCAAATTGTCTATGTATTTGACAAAGCTGTTTTCTGAACTGTGTCATCAAAAGTTTCTTTGGAGTGATAGCCAAATAACTATCTACTGGATAAAGGGATGTGCAAGAAAACTGGAAACCCTTTGTATCAAACCGAGTTTCTGATATTCAGTCACTCACGGATCCTGAATGCTGGTTTCACTGCAGTGGGAGTGAAAACCCTGCTGACCTTTTATCTCGAGGAGAAAATGCCTTTAATCTTGTGAGAAGTTCCCTTTGGTTACAGGGACCTAGCTGGCTGTCTCAACCTGAAAGTGTTTGGCCAGTAAATCAACAGACCAACATCGACGAGGAGAGCGTTCAGAACGAAGCAAGGGTGCAAACATCTCTTCATGTTTCTGTTCAAGACGTAGAATCTTCGGCATTACTACAGTTAACGCGATTCAGCAGGCTGCTGAAGGTGTATCGAATTACGGCTTATGTTATGCGGTTTACCAACAATATAAAACGAAATTCAGTGAAAGTCAAAGGTCCATTAAGCTCTGTTGAGATTTCGCGAGCTGAGCTCTATTGGGTAAAAGTTACACAGCGAAAATACTTTGCGAAAGAGATTCTAGATCTATCAAGTGGAAAATGCTTAGAAAAGACATCGTCGATTTATTCACTTAACCCAGAATTGGATACCCATGGTCTTCTGCGTTTAAAGGGCAGACTTCAATTCTCAGACTTTGCTTTCGAAGAAAAACACCCATGGCTGTTACCTTATAAAGATAGATACAGTGAACTAGTAATTTTTGAGTCTCATAACAAATTGTTTTCATGCTGGAGTCGAAGCTACCTTAGCCGATATTAGAGAAAAGTTTTGGATCATAAAAGGACGCTAATTTGTCAAGTCCACGTTAAGTAAGTGCTTTTTTGTGTAAACGATACAAGGTGCGTGCCGGTACACAGGAAACCGCTCCTTTACCACCTGATCGTGTTCTTCAATCATCTCCATTTTCTGTAACAGGGCTGGATTATGCTGGTCCCTTTTTTACAAAGGACAGCAAGAATAAACATTATCTGCTTTTGTTTACATGTGCTACAACTCGAGCTTTACATCTAGAACTTGTCCCTTCTATGAGCGTGGAGAATTTCATGCTTGCGTTTCGCAGGTTTATTTCTCGTCGTGGATTGTGCTCAACGATATATTCGGACAATGCCAAGACATTCAAATGTGCTGATCTCGAGTTGCGAAAAATTTGGAAGTGTATTCAACATCCATCTGTACAAAATTTGTTTTCTTCCCACGGTATAACATGGAAGTTTATTGTGGAAAAAGGAGCATGGTGGGGAGGGTTCTGGGAAAGGCATTTTAGAACGATCAAAACTTGTTTAAGGAAAATAGTTGGACGTTCTAGTCTCTCTTTGAATGAGCTAGAAACAGTCTTCGTAGAAATCGAAGCCATAATTAATTCAAGACCCATAACGTATGTCTACAATGACCCTTCAGAACCCTCACCGCTAACTCCTGCTCATTTTTTAATTGGTAAACGTTTACTTTCTCTTCCAGTTACAAGAGTGTGCAGAGAAGACTTGATTGGGTCTAGACATTCCTTGATCAAAAGGTATAAACATCAACAAACCTTGTTAAACCACTTTTGGAATAGGTGGAGGAAGGATTACTTGCTTTCTTTAAGATCTGTGAATTTATGTCCACCTACTAAAGTGTCTGGTCACTTTAATGTTAATGATGTAGTCCTTGTACATGACGACCGTTTACCTAGGAATTTGTGGACACTAGGTAAGATAATAGAAACTTATCCTGGCAGAGATGGTCAGGTTCGCTCGTGTCTCATTAAAACTCAAACAGGTAATCTAAAGAGACCAGTACAATTGCTGTACAACCTTGAAGTGCATAATTAGTAGTAAAGAGTTACAGTGTAATAATCTAATTTGTTGTTTGCACATATATCATCTTCTGAATATCTTTATTGATTTTTGCTAAATGTAGTTTAGTTTATATAATTCTTGCGAATTTTGATTTAGTATAATGTTTCTTATTTAGTAATTACTTTATAAGTTGATTTAACGTGTTTAAACATTACTTAATTGTTATTTGTAATTTGATGTAGTTTATATAGTATTCAAATGTTGTGTTTGATTTAGAAATTATGGTTTATTTTGTATTCGGTTTCTGTGAACTTAAAGAGTTCACAGGTGGGGAGTGTTGTAAAGAGAGAAGTAGAGGGCGCTGCTTGGCAGTAGCGCAATGCATGTAAGTAGAAACGAAATGTCGTTTGATTAGGCAACATGATTTCTGTGAAGGTAGTCCACCTAACAATAGGACAGTTGTAAATATGTAAATATAACGAATAATAAATAGCATTAGAAAACTGAACCATCGGATGTTTTGTGCTTGCTCTACGGGCCGCCATGGATAAATGCAGGTTCGTCACAACAAGCAAGCGAAACAATAACTGCATATCTTCGGCGCCTCCAAAATTTCCCTTAATTCTATCAAAAATCTTTCTCCGAAGTTAAGTTTAAAGTATTGACTTTATATCCATATCTACTTGTTAACAAAATCAATTCTCCTCTCCCCCTTCCTCCCATAAATTTAACAAGGGGTTGGGTCTAGAGGAGCCTTAACGGAGTGTAAAGAGGAATTTAGCTTGCATTTTTTTCAAGTAAATTATGCAATTTTCTTATTTCTGCTCACTTTATTTAATTCTGATGAGGAGGTAGATGGTTTTGAACCATAGGCACTTCGTAATTTAAAATCATTGGCAATGGGCAAACTACTGCCCGCAGAACAAATCTGGCCTGCCCCCCTGTTTTAATTCAACACACTGCTTAATATTGTTTTTTTACATTAAAAAAAAATCAAGGAAATCAAATTACACGCTTTAACGTAAGTGCCGATATTTGAATTGAGAAGTTATCCATAATAACTACGTGTAGCGCTATAAATTGAGAAATTTGATTAATATATGATAGGAATAAATATAATATATATTTGATCATTTGACTTACAATATCATTTGTGATTTGTAAATCATTTAGAATTCTAAAAGTGCTAAACATTCTTGGCCTATTCTTGTTGTCAATGGTATTTCTCAGTGAAAATATATTATTTCTTCAAGAATGGCAACAGTCTTTTGTTTATATTTTGATTAGACGCTTATAGTTTGCACTGAGTATATTATATTCATAAAAGTGTAAATTAATGTTAAGAGGAAAACTAAACAGGTGATAAACCTGATCGTTATATACTTAAAACCACCCTTTATAAATCCGTCATGCCTATAAAAACAACAGCGTTGTGTATGTAAAATACATAGGTTGGACAAAAATATGGAAACACTTCGTAAAATGCATGTTTGACTAAAATTTTTATTCCTGCAAAAGCTGTTGGTGGTGCTAATGTGTTTGCTCATTAACACCACCTCTACAACATCCTGAATACCTGGCAAGTGCCATTTATTGTCAAGACTGTTCTGTGCAGTTGTGAGTTCATTATGTCAGAGATAAATGAATTCGAATGTGGGGAAATTGTTGGGGCTCATATAGTGGGTGCTTCCGTAACCAAGGTAGCTGAAGTGTTTGAAAAGGCCCAGTATCTAAGATTTTTAACTCACACAGGAAAACCGGAAAAATTACATCCACTAAATCACAGCATAGACGAAAATGTGTGTTGAATGATCATGACAGATGATCATTGAAGAAGATTGTAATGGAAAATAAGAAGGCTGCAGCTGCTAATGTGACTGCTGAACTGAATGTTGCACTCACAAACTCTGTCAGCACCAAAACTGTACATAGGGAGCTCCACAAGCAGAGTATTTTTGGGAAAGCTGCAATTAAAATGCCACTCATCAGTGATCAAAATGCCTATAAGAGGAGAAGTGGTGCCAAAGTTGTAAAACTTGAGCTGTAGAGCAAAGGAAGAATGTCATTTAGTTGGATGAGTCTTCACATTTTTCCTGACTTTTGGATGAGTTTATGTCTGGTGAATACCATCCCATGCATATGAAAGACACTGTTTGTTACTGAAACATGGTAGGAGTTTGGTGATGGTTTGGGCAGCCATCTCATGGTATTCCATGGGACTCATCATTACTGTGCAAAGTCACATTATTGCCAAGGATTATGTGACCATTTTGACTGATCATGTCCATCCCATGGTACAATCCCCCCCCCCCAATGGTGATCCCATATTCCAAGAAGGAAAAGCTCTTTTTCACTCACATCATCCAGGTTTTTTTTAGCATGAGGGGGGAACTTCACATCTACGATGCCACTACAGTCTCACCAGCTCAGTGAAATTTATAATATTGATTATAGATATCAATATTATTGAGCTTTTGTGAGCTATTTTGAGACAAAATCTGTGTGAAGGCTATCCACTGCCATCATTGTCAACACATTGCAGGAAGAAAGGTACAAGGTTTCCTTGCAAAGCATAAAAGACCTCTATTTGTTCATTATGAGAAGACTGCAAGCTATTTTGAATGCCAACGTTTTTCCTACACCATGTTTGTCGCAGCAATATTTTTTTTTTTTTTTTTTTTCTTTTTTTTTTTTTTTTTTTTTGGTGGTTCCATATTTTTGTCCAAGTCCTGTATGTCCCATGTTTTTCTGACAGCTCTGCATAATGTATACTGACGTAAGTCAGAAATTGCTTAAAACTTTAGAGGAAAAAACTGGGTTTGAAAAACCTAAATGTGAAATATGTGATAAAACTTTTAATCATAAAATTGATATGACAAGACATCTTCCTACTCATAGTGATGAAAAGCCTCATTTATGCTGTTTATGTGGGAAATCATTTGTAAGACAGAATTCGCTAATGGTACACATGCAGTTGCATACAGGTAACAAGCCTCACGTCTGTCATATATGTAACAAATCGTTTGCGCAAAAAGGTAATTTAAATTCGCACATTCGTACTCATCTGGGTGAGAGAAGTCATGTTTGTGAAGTATGTGGCAAATCGTTTGTGCATGGACAGGATTTGAAAATGCATTTACGTACTCATACTGGAGAAAAACCGTATATGTGCAACATATGTAACAGATCTTTTGCAAAATGGTGTACATTAAAAACACATATGAAAACCCATGTAAAAGATGAGCCTCATATTTGTGAAATATGTGGCAAATCATTGGCTTGTCCATATGAATTGAAGGTGCATTTACGTAGTCATACTGGACAAAAGCCTTATGTCTGCAGCGTATGCAGCAAATACTATACAAAGCGTTCTACGTTAAAAGTACATATGGAAATCCATATGAAAGAGAGGTGTCATGTATGTAAAATATGTTCCATGTCATTTTCAGTGAAGAATCACTTATATGCGCATATGTATTTTCATAAAAGTCAAAAACTTCTTAAGTCTCCACAGAAAAAAAGGCAATCTGTAAAACCTAAATATGTAATATGTAATAAAACATTTGGTCGTCAAACAGATTTGAAGAGTCACCTTTCTAATCATACTGGTGAAACGCCTCATTTGTGTTATGTCTGTGGAAAATCATTTGTAAGAAAGCAGACTTTAATGGTACATATGCAGTTACATATGGGTTATAGGCCATACTCTTGTCATATATGTAGTAAATTTTTTTCACAAAAGGGTAATTTACAATCACACATGCTTACTCATATAAGTTTGAGAAATCATGTTCGTGAAATGTGTGGCAAATCTTTTGTGCGTCAGTTTGATTTGAGGAGGCATTTGCGTATTCATACAGGAGAAAGACCTTATGTGTGTGAAGTGTGTAACAGATCATTTATGCGAAAACATGAATTAACTGCACATATGAGTAAGCAAGATCCAAACTGTAGTAAAAATTTTATGTTATGAAACATAATGCTTTTTACTTTAACCTTCTCAATAGTCAATACAGTCAAAAGTCGTTAATCCGGACTCGTCGGGACTTCGGCGATTCCGGATTTCGATTTTTCCGGATTATAGATCATCAGTTTAAATCTCGTAAGATGGCATGCAGAAATTCTAAAATTAAAAATATGAAACCGTAATTTATGAAATAAAGAACAATTATGATCTAAAGGGTATCAAAATTTGCAAAAAGAAAAAGCTTAATATTTATTTGTTTACTTTATTAAACATTTCTTTCAATGTAAGTTGTTTAAGTTTTGCTTCGTTTCATGTGATAATACTTTCTCTTTAATTCTATTAAACAGACATAATTTCTTGTTCAGTTACAAAGTTCCGCTGTTCAAGTCCTATAATTGCTGTGTCGAGAACACCGACTAATTTGTCAATCGAAATTTTTTTTCGTTTTCAATAACCTCTGTCACTTTCTTCGCTCGCTATCGGAAGCGAATTATAATGACGAGGAACTTGTTTTAAATCATATCAAAGACGGAGCATATATCGAGATGAAATACTACATTTGGTAAGGAATTATAAGCCAAATAAAATAATGAAGATAAGGATAGTGCTGACAGATCAACTTCCAATTCATTACGTGCCCGCCGCGGCGATCCCCTCGCCGAGCAGCGTGAAATTGATAAACAGATTTCGGATTTCAAAACATACTTTCGCTTTAGATCCTTTACATATTAACAAATATATATCGGAAATTCTATTTGATATAATCGAAAGTTTAAGCTTACTTTTATAAAATTGCTCTTACAGTCTGCAAAAAATAATAAGCCGGATCCAATTCGAAAATTAAGGAACAACCACGCAATCATCAACATTAACTGAAATAGATAATTTTACCTTATACGTCCATTATACATAAAACGCGCACGCGAAAACGTATTCTGCACTTGCGCACACTCATATGCGCAATCGTAAAAGGTCTTACGCGCACGCGTAAACGCCTATGCGCATGTGTCAACGCGGCGCATGCGCAGAAAGTTTTTAGTTTTGAGGTCCGGATTATAGATCATTCCGAATTATGGGTGTCCGAATTAACGACTTTTGGCTGTATATGCTTTCATAGCAAATCACTATAAAATTAATTTAATTAATTTCCTGAAAAGTATATACTAGAGTGAAATATTTCAGGAAGTTTTAGTATAAATGTGTAATATTCAGACTGTACAAATATCTTAGAAAATGTTATTGCACCAGAATGTGTTATTTTCATTAGTGTATTAAGAAATGTATGGCATTTACTCGAAAATGAGATCCCACCAAATAAAAGGCCTTCTGTGCATTTTAGGATAAGTACTGAGAAATAAAAATGTACAGGGAATTTATTTTGTTTTTCTTTAAATCAGATAAAGAGAATCATAATTTTTTCTTCCATTCTTTCTAATTCCTTTGAAATAATATCATTAGCTGAACATTAGTAGCAAACAAAACTGGAAAACATTAGTAATCTGTTGTTACCTATTTATGTTCAGTGACTAATAGTGATGCAATCCAAAACTGAAATCATTTCTGTGGAGTATAAAGATTTTTTTATTAGTCCAAAGGGGCTTTGTCCCTGAAGGACTATTGTTTTCATTTTGTGTTGAATCACTATAAATGTCCGTTTTACTTTTCAAACTGTTGCCACCAAATGTTAGAGTCCTGCATTATATTTGAAGAAATTAAATAATGAAAAAATCTACATAAATGTATGCATATTTCTCGCATTGTGATAAAAACAACAGTACTTAAAGCCATCGAATTTTGAATGACGTAATCCTACTGCGAATATGGGCATGTGGAAGCCCAAATTTGAAATTTGGAATTTGTTTTATTATCGATTTCATATTTTGTAAAACTTTAATGAATTTTTGAGACTCGACGATTTGATTTTAGCGAGTAATGGCAACAATCTACACAGGGGGAACCTTTTTATCTCCAGGGCACAGAACTGTGTATCGGAAATTCTAAAGATAGGCTCATTTTAAAATTATTTTGCGACATTGGTATTGAACTGAAATTTATGGTTTAAGTGGGAATAACATGATATTTAATAAATAAAGGTAACACACAAAATGTTAAAATAACTCCCCTCTGGACGTAATTTAAAATCTGAAATCTTTCAGATTTTTTTTTTTTTTTTAATTTTCGTGTGTGTTATTTTATTATTATTTTTTAAAGCCAGAGATGTGAAAAATGTACAGTACTTGAGCCTTGAGTCCAGTCACCAAATACTGGTGGTGACAAATAACCATCCGCGTACTTTTCATAACTATTGTGTATAGACTAATTCCAGTTATGAAAATGTTTAAAAGGATACAAATATTCATGCTTTTGTCTTGTAAAATTTACAAAAACAAAATTCAATTTTATAACAGTTAGGAAATTTATGTTTGATATTCTCACAACAGGTGATCTATTGCCGTGAACCATAGAAAATAATAGCTTTACTATCATAAACCAAAAGAAAAGCAGCAATACATAAATAAATATGAAGAAATTATGCATTCTTTCTTTCATTACTTGTTTGTGTCGAATGGAAAGAGAGTGACAGCGTGCTTTTACTCTGCATCAGATAAAAGAATGTCTGGAACAACAAAAGGAAAATATGAAGAATCAAGATGGTAGAATGGGATATTTCACTTAGCCGCCATCAGTCAGCGAAGAAAAATGAAATGAATGAAAATAGACCAGCAATGTGAAAAAAGTTGGATCAGTAAGGTAGTAGGTACTTCAAATAATTAACAAAATGTTAGGTTAGAATATCCGAAGGATATTTGTGTTTTGCTCTAGGAAAAGGTGAGCATTGCAAAGAGCTGATACAGCTGTTTGAATGTAATAGTACAGAAAGGGAAAAAAAAATGTTGCAAGTTTTTTTATAAAATTTTGTGTAACATCAATTTGAAGATTTCTATGAATATATGAATTTGGGATGAACCAGGGTGTATTAATAATTTCACGAAGGGTTTTATTTTGAGTAACTTGGATCTTTTTTATGTTGGTTTTAGCGCCGTGTCCCCATACCGGACTGGCATAAAGTAAAGTAGGTCTAGGGATGGACTTGTATAAAATAAGCTTATTGTTGATAGTCAGATTGCTATGTCTGCCAAGGAGAGGACGCATAGTAGCTATTGAGATGTTGAATTTCCTGACAGTTTCGTGTAAATGTTGCTGAAAAGTGAGTTTTTTGTCAAGTGTGACTCTGAGATACTTCACTTGATTCGTCCACTGAATTTCGTCGTCAAAGAAGATGGGATTAGGCAGAAGGAAATTTGTTTGTAAATTAATGGATGGATTAGGCGGAAGAAAATTTGTTTGAATAATTATTCCCATAGGAATGCACTGTTGTGGTTGTAAAAAGGACCTATCATATCCCTCGATGGTTGTCAATGTATTTTAAATTACATTAGAAAAACAGTTCAGCAATTCTATTTGCCATCTGTCATTTGAAGCAGTCCTATTTCATGCATGTTACAGTGAATTATGGTAGTCTGAAGTATTCAGCCTAAAATTAGTATTATCTAAAAATTAGTATTCCTACTGGGCAGTCTTAGTGAAAATCTTAAACAGTACAATTTGTATGTCTTCCTTCGCAAAGATGATGCGAAGAGGCAGTTATTAAGATAAGCAATGGCATTGTGATACTAGCAATTGAGATGAGCATGGCATAGTGAGATGACGGCGAGATTAAATACAACACCTAGTGCATTCTGATTGGTTGAACATGCAGAGTATAGTCAAGTGATAAATAATGACATCTAATATCATTAAAAATTGTCCGAGTAATGAAGTTTTTGCATTTTTCATAAGTTAAATGTTCAAAGTTCATGAGAAAATACCAAAATTTTAAAAAAGCTGAAGTAGAATTAATGAAAAATGAAAAACATGAATTTATAGGCGGGACTTAACCTTGATCAATGCTATGGTGTCCAGTAGTCACCTGACAAAAACACTTTTTGTGTAACTTGAGAAAAGATTATTTACAACACGATACAATTTCAATAAAAGTTGATCTTCTGGGATAAATATTAGCAATTTGAGCTAAAAAAATGTAGAAAAGATTATTTACAACACGTTGCGAGTTCTAATTAAACTTGATCTTGTGGGATAGATAATAGGATAAATAACAAAATTTCTTGAGTAAATAAGCTTAAACTGAGTTCAGATGAGTATATACAAATGCTTACATAGATGTTTGACTACTTCCGCCCACCAGCGGTCGAGCGGTAAAGTTGCTGAACACTGGTAGCTCAGTCTGAGGTTCGAATCCTGCGAATGGGCTGGTTGCATGGCCGTTTTCGTGGTTTTCCCCATGTGTAACTTGTATACAAGCCACTTCCCCTTAGAAAGTCCTCCATGAAGGCATTCCTTCCCTTAGGCAGATAGCCCTCGAGGCTTTGCCATAATTACACAAACACACACACAGTTTGACTACTTCCAATTATTATTATATAAAATTGCCCTAGGACATTTGAAGGGGCTGGTTTATGCAGTGATCATAATTTCCTAGATATCTAATGACTTTGTACTGATGATTATCACATTTGGAGTGAACATTTTTAGATAATTTGAGAATTTCTTCATTGATGGTGTTAATCTTGAAACTTTTTCTTCTGACGGCGTTCCTGACGAACCACTGAGAGTCTGACATAATTTGTAAATGAATATTTTGTTGGCTTTGTAATTTGGATCTGCGGGTATTGGCGGTAGCAGCCCAAGCCAGAACTTCATATAGAACTATTGGACAATTTTCTCCCTAATAGAGGATAAAGTGCCATAAATGCTTTTTAAACTTTTTCTTTCACGTAGTCTGTATGTTGAGGGAAGAAATTTCTTATCATAAAAACTTCTAGTATTTAATATGAGGTTCTCTTCTAATGATGTCATTATTGATTTTGATATCCTAGGAATTTCCTCTGAGAGTTTTCTTGCTGAAAAGAATGACTATTGATTTTTATTTTTCACTTTGTAGACCAGCTTAATAATTTTACAGTGGATTCTTGTAATTTAATTAAGGCCACGTGGGAATTCATAGATTTTCATAGAACGGCTTTGTCGTCTGCATAACATGCAGTGACAGCACAGTCCATAATTGGTAGATCGTTCATAAAGTAATTAAAAAGCGAAGTTG